GGGAAAAGATTTTTGGGCTGTCCACCTTGTTGGAACCCCCTACCGTTCAAAAGGGTGCCTTTTTCACCCCTCGAAGGGGGGCCAAAATAACGCTAAAAAACCACCTATGAGTCAGTTTTCTCTTCCTTTCTGCGCCAACGTCCATCCTCAACACGTGGGCCCCCTTGCGCTCGCGTTCCGCTCCCAGGCAGCAGGAGGGGGGGTTTGGGAAGGAGAAATGGCCTCCACCACACACGCCTCAGTCTGCATCGATGAGATACTTTTTTCCCCAGCGCAGGGGAAAAACACTAACAAGCCGCAGCAGCAGCAGCATCAGGTGACCGGGCGACCCAAAAAAACAGGCACCCATTTTGCAGCAACCCTGCCAACCGGGTAGACAATCCCCTTGACTACTGGAAACCGAAACTTGACCTTTGGCACAACTGCTGAATTTGCCTGAAAGGCTGTCATGCCCGGCCAGTAAGCTGTGCAACGTAGCGCGTGTTTTACTGCGGCAGGAAGGTATTGTAAACTCCGCGGAGGACCCGACCTGTCCCACCCCAAAGTGATGGAGAAACTTCCATGTTTGTGGAAAATGAATCAGGCGTGGATTAGTCCAGGATTTCAAAACCACCCAGTTTCCTGACACAACTGACTAAATCCGCCATGAGAACATGACCCCAAACATGATGCCACCTTTCAGGTCCTCCTCACACTGCTGGTGTGTTTCCATTTTTTTGTCCCATAGGTGTGCTGGCTAGATTACGGGCCTCTCCCCATTGCTTGCTGCCAGGCCCCCTAATCTGCATTGGGCCCCCTGTACCAGCCTCCTCATCGCTGGCTGGCCAAGGTCCAGAGTGGATGTCAAGGGTCCCCAGTACGGCCTCACCCATTGCTGCTGCTGGTCGGTCCATTCGCCACCAACTCCTGTGCCATGTGCCACTTTCAGGTCTCCTCCCTCACACACTGGCTGGTGTGTTCCATTTTTGTTGTCCACTAGGGTGCTGGCAGAATACGGGCCTCCCCATAGGCTTGCTGCCAGGCCCCTAATCTGCCATGGGCCCCCTGTACCACCGCCGTCCTACATAGGCTGCTTGTCCTAGGTCCACAGTGTCTCATGCCATGTGGCCAACTTACAGGTCTCCTCACACTGCTGTTTGTTGTTCCATTTTTTGTCATAAGGGTGCTGGCAGAATTACGGCCTCCCCATTGCTGCTGCCAGGGCCCGTAATCTGCCATGGTTCCCCCTGTTCGCGCCACCTCATGCTGCTGCCAGTCCCAGAGTTGTGTTCATGGGTCCCCTGTACGGCCTCCCATTGCTGGCTGTCTTCCATCGCCCACACCTCTGTCCATGTGCCAACTTTCTCAGGTCTCCCTCACACACTGCTGGTGTGTTCCATTTTTTGTCATAGGGTGCTGGCAGATTACGGGCCTCCCATAGCTGCTGCCCTGGCCCCTAATCAGCCATGGGCCCCTATAAAACCGACTCCAAATCTCATAGCTGCTGCCTAGGTCCACAGTGTCTCATGCCATGTGCCACTTTCAGGTCTCCTCACACTGCTGTGTGTGTTCCCATTTTTTTACTCATAGTGGTGCTGGCAGATCCTACGGCCTCCCATAGCTGCTGCCAGGCCCCTAAACATGCCAAGGGCCCCTGTACCACGCACACCTCATGCTGCATGCCCAAGGCCTCCTAATCTCTGCCATGGGGCCCCTATACCGACCTCCTCATGCTGCTGCCAGGTCCACAGTGTCTCATGCCATGTGGCCATCTTTCCAGGTCTCCTCACATCTGCTGGTGTGTGTTTTCCATTTTTTTGGTCATAGGGTGCTGGGCAGATTACGGGTCCCCCGGGCCTTCCCCTAGCTTGCTGCCAGGCCCCTAACCAGCCATGGCCACTGTACCGCCTCCTCATAGCTGCTGGCCAGGCTCCACAGTGTCCTCATGCCATTGCCACTTTCAGGTCTCCCTCACACACTGCTGGAATGTGTTCCATTTTTTTGTCATAGGTGCTGGCAGATTACGGCTCCCCATTGCTGCTATGCCAGGCCCTAATCTGCCATGGGCCCCTTTACCCCCCGCGCAGGGTACACTACACCGCCTCTTCATGCTGCTGCCAGTCCAGAGTGTGTCATGGGTCCCCTGTAAACGCCCTCTCCATTGCTGCTCCTTCGCCAGTAGTGCAGCAGGGTCGCAGCAGTGTCATGGAGGCAAACCCACAGTAAGCACCAGCTCCACTGCAGCCTACCACCACGCACGGCCCAGTAGTGGTGACGGTGAACGCACAGAGGAAGTACAGTCAGCCGTGAGGAGAACGGGGGGGGGGGGGGGGCAAAGTTTCCTACTCGCGGTGTGGCAATTTTTCGTCAACGCCGCCCGAGGAAGTAAACGTAGCGTATGTCGACTATTTGCCAGAAAGTCAAAGCGTGGCCAGGGGGCCCATGTTGGGACTACAGCGTGCGTCAGCATATGCAGCGTCGCCATTCTGGTGGCAACCTGGAAAACCGTGATAAAGATACGGCGGTTCTGCCTGCCCCACCAAGCCGTTCCATTTTGTCATAGGTGTGCTGGCATATTACGGGCCTCTCCATTGCTGCTGGCCAGCCTTAATCTGCCAGTCAGGGCCCCTGTACCATGCCTCCACATGCTGCTGCACAGAGTTTGTACAGTGTCTCATGGGGTCCCTGAACCCGCCTCCCATTGCTCCGGTTCTTGTCTCCATCGCCACACTCGTGCCATTCTGGCAGCAGTCTTTCAGGTCTCCTAACATACTGCTATGGAGTGTATGTACATTTTTTGTCATAGGGTGATTGGCAGATGAATCAGGCCTCCCATAGGCTGCTGCCAGGCCCGTAATCTGCCATGGGACCCAGTACCGCCGGAGACCCCCTCATGACTGCTCGCCAGAGTCCACAGTCTCGCATGGGTCCCTGTACGCCTCCCATTTCCAGCTTGCCATCCATCGAAACACTCTGCCATGCCTGCCACTCTGCAGTCTCCTCACACTGCTGGTGTGTTCTCATTTTTTGTCATGGCATGTCTGGCTGATTACGGCCTCCCATAGCTGCTGCCAGGCCGCATTAATCTGCCATGGCCCCAGTACAGCCCTCCATCATGCTGCTACGCAGGCCCGAGTCCTCATGTCATGGGTCCCTGTACGGCCTCCCATTGCTGCTGTCTCACAAAACGCCTACATTCTGCCATGTGCCCAACTTTCAGGGTCTCCTCACACACTGCTGGTGTGTTCCATTTTTTGTCCATAGGGTCTGGTCAGATTAACGGGCCGCCTCCCATGCTGCTACCGCCAGGCCCTAATCGCCATGGGCCCCCCAGTACCGCCTCCCCTCCCGCCCCTCATGCTGCTCCAGGTCCACAGTCTCTCATGGTGTCCGGCTGTAACGTGCCTGGTATGCCATTGCTGCTGTCTCACATGGCCACCACTCTGCCAGCATGTGCCACTTTCAGGGTGTCCTCACACGCAAACTGGTGTGTTCCATTTGTTGTCATAAGGTGCTGGCAGGTCCTGTAGAACAGGGCCTGCCCATATCTGCTGCAGGACCTAATCTGCGCCATGGGCCCCCGTAGCCGAATCCTCATACTGGTTGTCAAGCGGCCCGTAATCTGTCATGGGCCCCCTGTTGTCGCATCTGTTGTCATATGCCGCTCGTACATCAATGCTCCTTCTCCTGCACTAACCCTCTGTCATGTGATTCCGTCAGCATCTTTCTTGAATCCGTTTCCAAGAGACAACAGAGTTGTGCCGCAGCAGCAGGCCCGAGGTGACAGAAGCTGAACGTCATCGCCTGTCCAAGTTTGGCTGCTGACAGGCTCTAGGAAATCTGTCCTTGCGCCCCTGTACCCCCGCCTCCTCATGCTGCTGCCAGGTCCGGCAGAGTGACATGGGCCCCTCGTACACGACTCCTCATCGCTGCTGCCAGGCCCGTAATCTGTCCATGGGCCCTGTACGCCTAACTCCTCCTGCCTGCTGTCGCCTTAGATGTCGCCAGAGTGTGGTCATGGGTCCCTGTACGGCCTCCATTGCTTGCTGCCAATCAGGCCCTAATCTGCCATGGGCCACCATACCAACTCCTCAATGCGTGCTGCCAGCCCGTTGGTCTGTCATGGGCCCCTGTACCGCCTCCTCATGTGCTGCCAGGATCCAGAGTTGGCATGGGTCCCTGTACGGCCACCCATTGCTGCTGTCTCCATTTTTCGCACAGATCTGCCATGCCATGGCCACTTTCAGGTCTCCTCACACTGCTGGTGGTTTCCATTTTTGTCATAGGTGCTGTATGGCCTCCCATTGCTGCTGGGAGCCTCCACCGCCACACTGTGGCTCCACACTCTGGTTTTGGCCCCGTGACTGCCCAAATGAGTGAAGTGTGCGGTGATTCTAAGATCGACGGCACTCATCTGCATGTCATGAACTGACTGTCAGTATTATTTCTCTTCCCCAGCAGACTCCAAGGGCATTTAAATTAAAAGGTACCGTGTTTCTGCACGAATAATAAAGGGCTCTCTGAAGCCTAGAAACACACCCTTTTAAATAATGTAAATTCGCAGCGAATGACTTATTCCGAACTCGATATCGGAAATTTTTTTTCCAACAAATTCGCTACGAATCAGTCGAATCGTAATTTTTGAATACATCGCTGTCATCTCTAAATATAACCTTTAATATTATCAAAAAAAGCAACCTCATTAGTAACATAACACATGCACTGGGGGAATAATCCTAATGCTTGCTCTGTAATGAGCACCTTACATCCCCAGAGCACCACTGTGCAGTTGCGTTCCCAGTTGGTGTCGAGCTACCAATACGGACCATCGTACCTGAGTCATCTTGAGGAAGACCATCTACGCCCAGGGCCGCATCTCTGACCACACCTGAGGTACCCTTGCATACCAGGAGTACATATACCAACGTGCATTTTTTAACCAGCGCATCAGGTAAGTGCGCACTCTGTGTATTTTAATACATCAACCCAAGGAGAAATAACATTCTGGGACTTCATACGAGTCATTTAAAGATTACATTTGACTTAAAGACAATTTGGACATTATAATTACATCTACGCATGTCATGATCATGCGTTTTTTCATGAACACTCACATACTAATTTATTCGTCCCTGATTCCAGAGCACTTCTGTTTACTACTGATGTTTACTACATATATGCATAACGCATTTATTTCACACCTGCATCTATAAGACAAACATTAGGTTTCTGTTCAACACCTAGCGCTGCACCAATATTTATTCTTGTATGTGAAGGCATTGTGGTTCACCTTTTAGTGTTCAGCTGCTTATTCCATATATTAGGTTTAGCGCTCCGCTTTATTACCTTAACAATTTATAAATAAGTCAATATGTAAAATATTGCAGGAAACTATTTATGAATGTGAATTTTCCCTACTATACTAGAACACAGATGGAACACGGAGTCCTTTAAGTAAGAGTTGGAATAAAGTAAAGGTGTATCCATGACCTGATTCACCTGCTGGTGGCACTGCGGTTTCTCTGGGCTGAAGGCTGTAATTCTAGTGACCACCACGGGTGTCTTCCAGCAGCAAGAAGGTTCCTGTAATCAGTTCCACCTGGCCCTAGGTGCAGGGAGGGTACTTAAGTCCCATCTCTGCTATTGCTCCTCAGTGTTTTTGATTGCCTTGCTTGCTGCCATAGCCATCCTGCTCTTGAACTATCCTTGCATCCTGTTTCCATACTGCTGCTCGCCTTGTTACTGTAACGAGCCCTGATTTCCACTTTTTTCTTGCATTGCCTCCTTGTGTTCTGTCCCCACATGAAGGCGAATGAAGGTATAACAGATAATGGCTGCGTGACTTCCTACCTTCGTATCCAAGCAGTGGAGCAGACCGGACCGGCAGATGCTCGGGTTAGATGGATCCAAACGTATACATGGGAATGAAATCAGCGTGGGTTTTGTGGATCCAAATACAGCGACAAACGGTGATACAATACTGTAATGTAGTAGAGGTATTGATGCTGTCCTGTGATATCTTTCCTGAGGCTAACTGCTGGTCAAAAACTGATGCCTTCACAAGCCCAGGGTATTGAATGTCCTGTTACACAGCTATGAAGCACATAAAATGGCTGCAGGAAGTGACCAGAACCAAGGCTGCCTGAAACCATGCCCAACAGAGGAAAAACTTTACTAACAAGAGCAGAGGCATACAGCATGCAAATTCTGGCCAGCAGATGGCAGCAAACAGATCAATGCATAGAAACGACATGGTGAAATAAGAATTGGTAATACAATGCAAAGTTATATAACAAATATGAGGAGAACAGCACACTCCCCATCTGAAATTCCATTGGGGATTTCACTATGACGAATGTCCATAAAATATAGAACAAACCTGTAACTAAGAACATGTTAGAATGCAATAAACAGAATGATATAGTAGATTCCGAGCTGGAATAGAGAAGATCCACGAAGTTCAAGTTCAGTAGAGTTCACCCAGCAGGAACGTTCTCGATGGGTAGTATCAAAATGAGTTCGTTAATTGGCCTTGAACGTTTTAAGCTCACCCTTTCTGAAGATCTTCAACTCCATTTTACGGACCTTGCCATCCTTGCTAGGAAGAACCTTCGTAATTAGTCCCATAGGCCAGTCAATCCGTATGGTATGTTGCTCCTTCATCAACATGAGGTCACCTTCTTTCAAGTTTGGTTTGTGGTGTTGCCACTTTCTTCTTCCTTGAAGAATATTGAGATACTCCTTTCGCCACCTGTTCCAGAAGTAATCAGCTAGGTATTGTACACGTTTCCAGTGTTTTTGGTAGATATTCGCATGAGTAAATTCTCCACTAGGCATTAGAGTATTCTCAGTTTTTTGGGTAAGTAGGATAGCTGGAGTCAGTACGGCTGGTGTTTCAGGATCCATAGATACTGGCGCGAGGGGTCTAGAATTGATGATGGCTGAAACTTCAGCGAAAAAGGTGACTAGAGTCTCATGTGTGAGTCTTGAAGAGTTTACATCCATCAACATAGAATTCAAGATGTTGCGTGAGATCCCGATCATTCTCTCCCAGGAGCCCCCCATGTGGGAACTAAGAGGAGGATTGAAAATCCAGGTGCAACCCTTTTCCGCCAAGTGATCTTGAATGGGCTTGGTGTCGATGTCCAGTTCTCTACAGGCTCCAATGAAGTTGCTTCCATGGTCAGACCTCAACTGTTTCACTGGTCCTCTGATTGCGAAGAACCGTCTTAAGGCATTAATAAGGCTGGATGTGTCCATGGATTCTATGACCTCTAAGTGAACGGCTCGCACATTCATGCAAGTAAATAGTACAGCCCAACGCTTACTGTTTGCGTGACCCGCCGCAGCCCAAAGACATCTAGGCCAACGTAGGTGAAAGGGGGCTTTGTACATAGTCTGTCCGCAGGCAAATCAGCCATTTGTTAGTGTAGTTGTTTTCCTCTAGCCTTGTGACAGTGAACACAGTTATGCAGTACTTGGGCCACATGTTTTTTCATTCCTATAATCCAAAGGTCAGCAGACCGTAACTTGCCCTCAGTGATTTGCCTGCCCTGGTGTTCAGTCTTTTTGTGGTAGTGTCTGATCAGCAAGATGGTGATATGGTGTTTGCTGGGAATGATGAGAGGATTTTGTTCTGCAACTCCTAGATGGGCTTGATTCAAACGACCACCAACTCTGAGCAAGCCAAAACTGTCAATAACTGGATATAAGTTGGCAAGAGGACTTTTTATTGGAATCTGCTGTTTGTTGTACAAGCACTTCCATTCTACATTGAATTCCCCTTGTTTGACATGACGTATTATGAGGGACTCACTATGAGAGATGTTCTCCTCAGAGAAGGGTTTATGGCAGACATGCCAACCGTGACAATCCTTATCTTCGTGAGTATTGTGATAACATTTCGCAATGTGCACTAATCTTGCGATAGTTCTGACGAGTCTCATCCAACTGGAGAAATGTTCAAAGTGCTGGCAACCGAGGCTGGAGGTTTGCTTTGTTACAGTGACTAATGCACTAACTTTTCCAAAAGTTTCCAGACACGTGTACCCTCATATGATACTCCATCATCTCTGTGTTGGTGTCATTGTCCTTGTACCACAGAAACCTGACGAAATTCCGGTGGTCCTCTCGGACTACGAAACAGTGGAACATCTGTTCAATGTCAGCAGTGATGGCGACAAGCTCTTTCCTGAATCTCATCAGCACTCCGACTAGGTTATTCGTCAGATTAGGACCTGTGAGAAGAATATCGTTAAGAGATACACCTTGATGTTTGGCGCTTGAGTCAAAGACAACCCTAATTTGATTAGGTTTTCGTGGATGATATACTCCGAATGAAGGCAAGTACCTTAAGTTCTTCCTTAAGGATGAAGCTGGTTCTGCATGGTTGTTACAGAATATTTTATCCATAAAGGCGATGATGTGTTCTCTCATTTCAGGCTTGCTGTTCATGGTACGCTGAAGAGAGTTAAATCTGGACAGAGCTTGTTCCCGGTTGTTCAGGAGCAGGGGCGAACTGACAACTCATGGGGCCCCTGGGCAATAGGGGATCATGGGGCCCCTGTGTCCTCGCCCACACCCAAAAAAAGCCTATGAAAAAGCCAATGAAAGGTACCGGGGGCATCTCATGGGGCCCCCTACTGACCCAGGGTCCTCGGGCAGTGCCCGAGTGCTCAAATGGTCAGTCCACCCCTGTTTGGGAGTTTTACCCTGGTAGCTTGGAAGGGTAATGGAGAAACCCAGTGATTGCTTTCATCTTTAAAGAACTCACTGTCCATTATCTTGACAAATTCTCTGTCCTCTACTGACAAGGCTACTTTATTGTCATCCTTGGTTGTATGAAAGACTGATCTCCCCCTAGTAATGACGTCAGGTGGTTATATGAGGCCTGGAGGCTTCTCTTTCACCTCATAATGATGAGGACACGGCTTAATGCAAGTTGTGCGTCCATCTGCACACACGTACGTTTTTGAAGGAGTCGATTCCTGGTTGATCTAAGCATACATTTCCTATGATTACCCATCCCAAGTCCAGTCTCTGGGCATATGGCGCATTGTCAGGACCATTACACTGTTGACGCACCGTGTGTACCCTTAGATTGTCTCTGCCGAGCAGGAGTAGAGTCTCGGTGTTGATGTCCATAGGTGGGATAACGTTGGCTAGGTGCCTTAGGTGAGGTTGGTGAAATGCAGCTTTTGGGGTAGAAATCTCATCCCTATGGTTGGGTATTTGATCACATTCGATCAGCGTCAGTAAGGGTATTTCCGTATCCTCACTGACAGGAGAAGCGATGAATCCTTGTGCCCTTCTGCTGCTAGTCTCTATGCGGCCCGAGCAGGTGTTTAAGGTATAGGGTTCGGATGGTCCCTTTATTACAAAGGCTTCAAAGAATTTAGGACCTGCTAGGGACCGGTTGCTTTGGTCATTGATGATGGCATACATTTTTACTGCCTTTTCTGGTAGTCCCTCTGGGTAGACCTTGATTAGGCATATTCGAGCACAACATTTCT